TATACATATATATATACATATATATATATATATATATATATATATATATATATATATATATATATATATATATATATATATATATATATATATATATATATATATATATATATATATATATATATATACCTCTTCTACGTGAATCTTGACATGAATCTAACCTATAAGACACTTATGGTTTAAACACCATAATATATCATTCTTCTCACGGTTTTATCTAATTTATTACTGGCAACTCAGTGACGAAGGTGTGGACCGCATACAGAGATGCGGATTAATTGTCAATGATTAGAAATTGCCTGTTAACTTTGCCAATGTATTGAATCTAAATATATTGATTGCACAGTAGGACAAGTTACAATTATACTATTGTACATATCTATTTTTTGTTGTTATAAATTTTTATTTGAAAGAAAAAACAGCTGTGTGTCTTGCCCATTTCTCTCAGCTGACATTTCATTCCGAATTGGATGGTAATTTATAAAAAGACATTAATATTCGAAATGGTTATTATTAAGTTTACTTGAACAAAATTATTTTTTATTATCATAATATCTTTTATATTCTTTATTGCACTTAAACACTATTGTTTAAGTATCTATATACAGCGGGTAGATTAACAACTTGTTAGCAAGGGAGGGTTTATCTCTCTTAACTCAGTGTAGTTAGAAAGAAAATAATAATTCTGTAATAATCTTTTTATTACTTTATTCCTATAACTAATTTAACATTACGTAAAAATATATTTTTGTTAGAAAAATAGCTTCTGCCAATGACGTGTCCTAAGAGGCAACTAAAAGAACTTAATGTTCGAGGGATGGACAGTAGCGTCCCTGCCACCAACTCACCTGCCAAAAATGGCAAAAGCCCACAATACCAAACCAATCATTATCATTACATCAGCTGTCCATTGCTGAACATAGATCTCTCCCTTAAGACCCCCCAAGAGAAAGGTCTATGTTATGTAGGTAGGTAGAAGGCCAGACAATACCAGGAAGGAATCCCCCCAAATTGGTTTGAATTCAGGAGTAGACAGTTAATGCGTGATGTGGTGATAATATTATGAGTGATCTAGTCCTCTGAGCAGGCGTTCACACCAAAAGACTGTCTAATCACGCATAGGACTGTCTTATCTATTTACAAACATTCAGGATACTGTTGCCCTATATACACGTATTGTATAATACCCTATATGTTCTATAATACCTTTAAAAGGCGTATTTTTTTTTAAAATAACATTTTTTTAATCGTCGACAATATTTGAACACCCAAGTAGCACTTGAAAAATGGCCAGTCAATCGAGTACGGAAATTCAAATTTCGAACGAGCGATTTGCGTATTCATCACCGTGTCACATTTAACAACACATTATATTTAAGTGCAAGCCAATATTTAATTGTCATCCAAGATGGCGCGTACGGAATGACAATGATGAGACCACCGGCTTGGAAGTGCTGGTGGAATGCTAATTGTTGGCACATTGCTACCGAGGACGCTGGAGCATTTCAGAAATGATTACCCAAACAAGGAATCGTAAATAAAATCTGAACGGAGATATTTTCCAAACGACTTAAAAAAAAAGAGAATTTTCATTTAGGTCATATCTTTCTTTTGTGCCTCAGAACTACGTCATTTATAAACGGATTTGCAAGACTTTTTTTATGCTACTTGGAATGGCAAACAAGCTAATGGCCCACCTAATGGAAAGTGGTAACCGTCGCCTATAGACATGAGCAGTACCATGGACATAACAGAGTATACTGTTTCGTCCATGATACCCCCGTGCGTTACCATTCCTGAGGACTCAGGTGTTATTCCTCTGTACCCTGTAAATTCACTGCAATAGCCCACCCTTCAAACCGAAACACAGCCATGCAAACACAACTGCTTCACGATAGAAACACGAATGGGACAGAGGTGCTAAATCAAACGATTTTTGTACAAAGTCTCTGATAAATGAAATAAATTAATTTTGAAATCAGAATTACTGGTTTTGCTATAATTGAAGTCTTTTTTTTTTTTTGTGGAAATTAATCTTTTAATAAATCACTTAAAAAATTCATGTCAAGGTATGTATGATGGAATAAATATGCTATATAAAAAGATTTCTATAATATTATAAAACAAATGCCATCTATGTTATTATTATGTGTGATAATTTGATATAGTTAAACATCAGGCAAGCCGTATGTTTCTTTACAATTAGATATAGTAACATAACCGTGTTATAAAACTCATAAAATCACAGTTTGCCTATCTTAAAACAGTAGGCGTTGGTTCATAGTTAAACAGTTTGACAGAAATTGGAACCTCTGTTAAAATGTTCTTTTACAAAATTGTACTTAATTACAACTATTAAAAAAAATATTGAAACATTTACAAAACCTGTTGAGTTCGAATGTTTAGTACTCAATCACGTTTAAACAACTGATCGGATTTAAATAAAATCTAGTATACAAATAAATACTGTCCTAAATCAACGTTTACTTTATTTATTTATTTATATTTTAAGAAAGCTTACAGCTGTGATAGCTTAATAATTAACTATACATGACAACAATAAGCTAATTAGAAGCCTACAACATTTAATTAACGAAAATTAGATTACAGTCTAATTTTAATGAAAAAATAAACAAGTGAATAATTGAGCTGACCATAAGGCAGTTACTATTGTCCAATAGTAACATACAGTGGATCGTATGGTCGTAGCATAGAATAGGCCACCCCTTCCTTTCCCGTGGGTGTCGTAAGAGGCGACTAAGGTAGCGCGAAGGATGGCAGCAGCATCCCTCTTCAAACATCTCCTAAAAGCCTACTTCGGTAGCGAACCCGCCTGCTAGGTATGGCAACTATTGGCAAAACTCCCCTTATAGAGAAGGGGTATGTTCAGCAGTGGACAGGTAATGGCTAAAATAATAATAAAAAAATAATAGTAACATAAATAAAAATTTAAAAAAACCTATGAAAAAATTTGCTTACCTTTTAAATTCTACTAAAACATACTTCACCTACCATAGAACATAGAACGAACATAGAAAAAAAATATTGTATTTTTTTTGTACGACCAATTTAATTTTATTTACTAGTGATGTGCAAAGAATAAGTATTAGCTAAATACCGATACGTGGTTTCGTACGCGTCCGCCGCTAATAACGAGGACCACACACCAACGGAAGAGATACCGATCTTTATAAAGATCGGCGTACTGTTGGGAATGCATTGTGCCGCGTACGTGTCACTAATTGGGTATAAGATTGCGCCCGCGCACCACAACATTGCCGCCGATAAATATGGTGCCTTTAACCTTTGTTTAAATATTGTTATCACAATTATTTAAACAGTGTTATGACAAGAGAATAATAATTGTTTGTCGACGTAATTGTTTTGATATTGATTTATAAAGAATGTATTGTTTTTATTTTTAACCGACTTAAAAAATAAGAAGTTTCTCAATTCGGTTGCAGGTTTTTTTTAAGTTTGTTACCTCATAACTAAGTCAGTTGTAAAGGGATTTGGAACTTTTTTTATCTGAATGTTTATATAAGTATACGATACGACATCATAACCTTCATGAAAAGAGCATATTCCTTTTTAAAAGGCCGGCAGCATACCTGCAATACTTCTAGTTTTGCTGATATTTATGGGTGGCGGTGGTCACTTACCATTAAGTGAGCATCACGCTCGCTTGCCCTTTATTTTATAAAAAAAATGTGTATATTTAAGATATTCCTTTGGTCCCATAGAAATTTTATTAAAATCAGTTCAATAGTTTAATTTTTTAATAAAAAAAACTGCTTTGCCATAATCAGTCGCATTATTTTTTGTGCAACACATACATATTAGATACTAGCGGCCCGTCTCGGCATCGCACGGGTGGACATTTTTACATTTTAAAAAGTGGCCATTAAGGTTTCACACGCGACGAAAGCTTAAAAATGGAGTAACTTCTCCCGTTTTCCCAACATTTCCCTTCACTGCTCTGCTCCTATTGATCGTAGCGTGATGAAAAGTATACTATAACCTGCCCAGGAGTATGAAGAATAATTGTACCAAGTTTCATTAAAATCCGTCGAGAAGTTTTTGTTTCTATAACGAACATATAGACAGACAGACAAAAATTTTACTGATTGCATTTTTGGCATCAGTATCGATCACTAATCACCCGCTGATAGTTATTTTGGAAATATATTTCATGTACAGAATCGACCTCTACAGATTTATTATAAGTATAGAAGATAAGTATGTCAGTGTGACGTATAAGAAGACTAGAAATCTTTTATTGAACTGACTTTTTACTGAACCGATTTCGATAAAATTTTCTATGGGACCAATCTGTAAATGTATCCTCTCAGATAAAAAAAAAGCCAAATCGGTTTAAAACTAGCAATGTTATGATGTAACAATTATAAAAAAAATACAACCGAATTGACAGCCTCCTTCTTTTTTAAGTCGGTTAAAAAGTGTATCCGACGATGGGAGATGTTCAAGGAAAAATGATGAGAACAATAGAGAACCGGAACAGTATTTTCAAATTTTTTTCTTTATATGTTTATTTATACTGGCATCAAACAAAAACTAGCTCACCAAATTAGATACAGTTATCACAGTTGTGTTCCTAAAGGACTAACTAAGTGTTTGAGTTTGACAGCCCCATTGCTAGCAATATACCTTATTAGGTCGACTTCCACATGGTTCCCCCTGGAAACCATCGTGAACAATTCTTGTTGAATTCGTCACGGTGGGCTAACTGACCTACTTCATCCTATATCATCCTTCAAATTTATATAATATTATATATTATCATCCATTTAAAAAAAAAGGACTAACTAAAAATACGTCTTGGTGCACTGCTTAAAAGAAGTCTCTTTATATAATTTTCAAATTTATATTATATAATTTTTAAATTATTTAATTATATATATTTTATATTATCTGTAATTATTGTAGAATAACTATTACTTGCCATTATTAAATATACTTTTTCCCCTACCTGACATTAGATTTTTAAGCTACTTTCAAAATAAGAAACAATTTTTTTATTAGAGCAATAAAAGTGATATATAACGTAACAAAACAAATTTTTAACTTTATTTTACTGTCATTGCGTTTTTTATACAACTTAGAATAGCAAACAAGCTGACAACCCACCTGATGGAAAGTGGTAACCATCACCTATAGACTTGATCAGTACCATGGACATAACAGAGCATACTGTTTCGCCCATGATACCCCTAAAGAACCAGGTGTAAAGTAAGTTGGGTGTATAAATTATATGTATAATCAAGTCACGACTACACACATAACTTATTTTAATGAAACAAACACATTGCAAAGCATCGGTATGCCCCATAACCGCTCATTCCAATTTCACAATAGCCAAGTAAACACAACCATTATGTCCGAACCGTAACCCCTAGCATTAGTATCCAACAAATCACGAGCAAGGCTCTGAAACAATGGGTTCTAGATACCAATTGCGGTGGTACCGATACTATAATCATGTAGATAAAGCGATTGAACGCCCACTTCACTATAGTCGCAATCTTCAGCGATCATTTTTAAAATTACACACTAGATATATATATATTTTTTTTATTTTTATTTTTAAAGATTTTTTTTATTTGTCACATATAATAAAAAAATATTTTTTAATGCTACTTAAAATGGCAACCGAGCTGACAGCCCATCTGATGAAAAGTAGTAACCATCGCCTATAGACATGAGCAGTACCATGGACGTAACAGAGTATACTGTTTCGCCCATGATACCCCCTATGCGTTGCTGTTCCTGAGGACTCAGGTGTTATTCCTCTGTACTCTGTAAATTCACGCCATATCCCATCCTTGCGCTAAAAAATAATTTATTCTCAAAGTGGGCAGTAGACAAAATAAGTTTGGGAACCCCTACATTAAACTGAATGTATACAAAATAAAATCATTTTATAAATGGTAATGTCCATGATACAGTTTACGTCTTTAGACAACGGTTGCCATTTTCCATCAGGTCGACTGTCAGCTTTTTTGACATATCAAATTGCATATTAATATTTTATTGACATACAAAAAGTTTATTGCTGTTCTGTGATAACTAATCAAACTAAACATATTGTTTGGCTAATAAACACTTTTTTTTTATTATTTTCCCATGAGACCACAACCCGTTACCATGTTTAAAGGCCTTAATCGAAAACTCTCCAAATCCATCAGTTGGTTGTCACAATAAGAAGTTAACAACAAAAACATCACCAGTTCTAATTTAAAGCAATTGCTTAAACACGTTGCCAGCACCGTCATCGTCGCACAAACACGCCGCTTTCCTGTTCACCCTCCGTGCAATCAATTCGTAATACACGAGTCAAAGGAGCCGATCATCGAATCAACTGGACAATCGATGCCGCTCGTGGTTAGTTTTTAAGCTCCCGTTGCGATGTTACGCTGTCAGGGTTCCGTATCTCGCAAGCAGAACTGCAAGGCCTTTAGTTCTTCCGAAATAAAACTTTAACATAATTATCTTTTCTACAATTCTATATCAACAGATAGTAATAATGACGTCAAAAGAAAAAAAATTGGACCCAATAAAAAATTTCCAAAAGACTTAAAGACAGTCTTCATTCATTCTTCTAAGTCAACTGTGCAGGGCCGTAACTAGACCCAAGTTTAAAGTAGGGAAAAAAAAATTTGTTAGGGCAGAAACCATAATTAAGTGATTTCGAGAAAACGAATCTGTCTAATTTTTTGGGGCCTTTCATTTTAAGGTAGGGCATTGCCCCTCAATGCCCCCTCCCCCCCACTCTGTTACAGCCATGCAACACTGTCAGTAACAATAAAGTACAAAATGGATAACAGATAACTTAAATAAATTATATAATAACATTTAAGGAAACCTCATCAGTAGATATGAAGTCAAACAAAAAGTAGTTTAAATTTTCGAAATTATTAATAATAACAATCACTTGTTAAAATATAAACATAAAACAATTATATCTACATCGACATTTACATAATAGTTTGTAACTTTTAAGAATCCTAATCAATTGTGTCTTTTAACTTCACTCCTTTCGTTTCAATCAATCCTAAACAAAAGCCAGCGGCTACAAATGGTAAAATAGCAAATATCATAGATGCTATCCAATGTGGATGGAAGTTAACAATGAATGGTGCTAACATTGCACCAATTTTAGCACCAGCAGAACTTGCGCCAAAACCCATATTTCTTAATGGCGTAGGAAACAATTCATTAGCTTGAACATAGATAACTGTAAATAATATACAAGCGGCAATCAATCCAACTAAGGCAAATACCGTGCTAGCCCAGTGATCATCTGGTAAAAAGATGAGTATACTCATGGAAACACCAATCGAAATGAAGGAGACTATAGACGATTTCTTTCTTCCGAACCACTTGTTAAACACCATGCCTGTAAGTGTTGCCGGTATCTGCAATGCAAAACAATAATAAATATAAACATAAAAACTACCGGTAATCACTAACATTACGAATACAAAAAGAAATTTATTAAATTTGTTTTATGGAGACTAGGCGATCAGACCTCTTCGCATAAAGATCGCGGTATTCAGCCGATTCGGTAACATTCAGATGCTTAGACACGTTTAGAAACATTTTATTTTCTGTTTCACTGAATATTTTGTATAATTAATCTACTAGACTTATACATTGATTTTTTATTATATAAGTTATAAGAATATAATAGGTACTTGCGGTAATTTTCAAATTTTATATTTTTTATTATTGCAAATAAAAAATAAACAATAAATTATATACACGTTAAGTATACTACCAAATTCATACATGAAATAAGAAGAATTAAAATAGCAAATATTTGATTACAATAAATAAAATTTAATATGTCTTACAAAATAAAATTAATAAAATACTAGTACCAACCTGTATCAAGCCGCTGATAATAACTACCAAGTATATATTATTGGGACTTAGAACTGTTACATATTGGTTGATACCAAAGTAAGACACACCAGCTATTGTCCAAATGATGACAGAATGAACAGTAGTAAAAGCAATTTCCTTTGTTCTGAACAAATCCAGAAAATTTGTTTTAGGGGGCTCTTTTTGTTTTTCTTCTATATTTTTTATACATTTAATAACATTATCTTCTAAAGTGTCAGTATTCAATTTATTTCTGAAATTTATATTAACATGAACATATAACACATTTATCATATAATAATTATGAATATTTAACTAATTGACTTGTAAAATTGTATTCAAATTACTTACAAATTCGCGATTGATGTCATCAAATTGATAGCTTTGTCAATTTTCCTATTTGCCACCAGCCATCTTGGTGTTTCTGGTATAAACATTATCGGTATCAATATAAACAATGACAATATACCGTACGAGAGTATATAAATGTTCCAAGTTGGAGAATAATATGCACAGAGGGCCAAAATGGATTGTGACACGCCATCTCCTAAGACGCTCACACCTCCAGCAAACTCTTTATGTTCTGCGCCTACTGCTTCCATTATCACAACTATGGTGGTGGCCATTAATCCTCCACATCCCAATCCTACAATAAACCTTAAACTGGTAAAACTCCAAAAGTCCAAGGCAAACGAAGACGCTATTGTAAATACAACAGAAATTACTCCACTCAATATAATGGCAATCTGACGTCCGAATCTGTGAAATATTAATGCTATATTACTTTTCAAATCACTAACTGATTGTGGAATGGTTCGCATATGTAGAAAAAATGTCGAATAGTTACGCAAAGCAAAAGTGAAAAATGCAGGTATTGGTGAGGATTAAATTGTCTTTTAACGATTAAATTAATTTTTAAATCCAATCTATTTAGATCACATGCTGTTTAAAGGAGAAGTAAAAAAATATAGGAACTTATAACGGATAAAACTCTAGACAGGCAATACAATACTGGGCTTCATGGTTGTGTTTTTATTGATGTAATTTTAGAGTTATCGATGTAAAAACATTAATTTTTTTTTTATATTTCACGATCGATAAAAACGGAAGTATTGTTTATGTGTTACATTATATCTTTGCTCAGTATTTTGACGATTCTTACCACAATCATTAAGATTTACTCCCAAATTGATCTCAGACTTATTTTCTAACAAATACTACAGTCATTTTTAATATATAGAATAAAATACTTTGTATTAAAGCTAATCGTCTTAGACCCACGAAAGTACAAACAGCAAATGATTAATATTATTCAAAAGTTTACCTGTCGGAAATCCATCCAGTGAGTGCTACCCCAATTAGTACACCAAACATTAGTACTGTCTGCACAAAACTTGCAAGCCAAGCCTTTTCACAAATCAAATCAAACTCAGCTATTAGATTTAATCTGAACGCATCATTGCAGTACTCGTATTGTAAACAATTGTCGTAACACGTCGAATTCTCTATCACGTTTGGTTCATCGTCTTCAAATTTAAGACACCTAAACTCTGTGGTAGATGTTAAGAACAGTATCGATGTTATATTCCACATTAATATAGCTCTAGCGGACATACATATAGTGCATATTATTGCTTGCCAAATACCAAACGCTCCAATAGATTTCACTATGTAATCAACTTCAGAATTCGTCATCTCTGCTTCTGTTTCTGAAACTATATATTGCTTTACGTTGGATTTAAATTTCATAGTACTATTACAGTGTTGTTTTATAGGCAGCATGTACTGAAAAATTAATAAATAATCAATTTTTAAAATATTCAAAAATAAATAAAAGAAGGTCCTACTTAATTGCTGTGTAGTTCCAGCATAGAATAGGCGACCCCTTCCTTTCCCATAGGTCTGGAGCGTCCCTCTTAAAACATCTTTAAAGTCTAACTGCGCTTGCCTATTCTCCAGCCAAACGTGGCAACTATAGGAAAAACCCCCCAAGGGGCAGGCTTATGTTCAGCAGTGGACAGTTAAAGGCTGATATAATGATGATCCTATTTAATTAAAAAAAAAAACTTCAGATTTATAATGACTTCTGTCAGTAAAAAGCCACTTTCCACTGTAAGTTTGCTAAAACAGAACTATTGCATTTACTATCTACTGGCATGTTTCTATATGTATTATTACTGTATATAATAAAGTATAAATAAATAAATACAAAATTCCAATTATAAATAATTTTAATCTAACGATTTGCTATACATTTGTAGATATATCAGCGGGTCTACCATGAAATGAAATTCCGAAATTCCGGACTCAATTTCGTGTTTTTGTTTATACCAAAATCGGACCAATAAATGGACTTAAACATTTCGTTCGTCATACATCCTATCATAAAAGTCCAAAGAAACAATATTTTAACATTTTTAATATTTCCAAACGGCATGTATTATGTAATTTTAACATCAAATTTCTGTTTCGTTTGGCTCCGAAATTTCGGAAAACATTTCATGGTAGGCCCTCAAATTATTAACTCAATCAATTCCGTGTTTTCCATTATAACCCCTATGAATTACCGTGTGACGTGGCTCTAGCATTATACTTGGTGATTTTAATGTTATGTACACATTGATGGGACTAATTGTGTGAGAACGCAACCCTGTGGTGTACAAAGTTTCCAGGTCGCCACGTCTTTATACACGAGTCCTCTGACGTGGCTCGCCATATGGCAGCTTTACGGCTTACGTGGTGCATGAATTATTAAAAAACTCAAAGGTTTAGACATCATTATAACTTCCATAATAAAGTTAATTAATTCATAACAAGAACACCTTTTGTACCTTTATGTATATACCTGTATTTTAATGTACTTTGTGCTACTTTATTTCACTTGGCCGTATGGTCCCGGCATAGAATAGGCTACCCCATCCTCTCCCGTGGGTGTCGTAAGAGGCGACTAAGGAAGGGCGAGCGATTGGTAGCAGTATCCCTCTTAAAACATCTTTAAACCCTGACTGCGGTTTTTTATAATGGGTGATAATGGAATGGTAGCCCCGCCTGCACTATAGAGATACACTGGCGGGGCACCAGTGAGGGATGACAGGTAATGATAAAAAGGCAGGTCAGTTAGCCCATCGTGATGAATACCACTAGAATTAATCACGACGGTTTCCAGGGTGAACCGCGTGGAGGTCGACCAGATAGGGTGTATTGCTAAGAATGAGTTAATTAGACCCCATTACTAATAATCCCTTCCCCCCCTGACTGCAGTTGTCAATCTGCCTGCCAAGCGTGGTAACTACTGGCAAAACCCCCCCAAAGGGGAGGCTTATGTTCAACAGTGGACAGTTAAAAGCTGATATGATGATAATGATGATGATTTTTATATGTATTTAGTGCAATGAAAAGCAAATTTTTTTTATACAACTTAGAATGGCAAACAAGCTGACAGCTCACCTGATGGAAAGTGGTAACCGTCACCTATAGACATGAGCAGTACCATGCACATAACAGAATATACTGTTTCGCCGATGATACCGCCCATGCGGACTCCTGAGGACTCAGGTGTTATTCCTCTGTACTGTGTAAATTCACGCCATATCCCACCCTTCAAACCGAAACACAGCCATGCAAACACAACACCTGAGTCCTCAGGAATGGCAACGCATGGGGGGTATCATGGGCGAAACAGTATATTCTGTTATGTCCATGGTACTGCTCATGTCTATAGGCGACGGTTACCACTTTACATCAGGTGGGCCGTCAGTTTGTTTGCCATTCTAAGTTGTATAAAAAAAAAGTGAGCTATTTATGAATTACTTATAATGATTAATGAATTAATGATTGAAAAATCATTATCTGACACAACTTCATAATTACGATAATACAATATTATTATGTATAGGGGGTGAAGGATTGTTAGTAATGGAGCCGTTAATCCCCATTGCTAGTAATACACCATGTCAGGTCGACCTCCACGGGGTTACCCTTGGAAATTGTCGTGATTCATTATTGTGAAATTCGTCACGATGTGCCAACTGACCAGACTTCGTCCTCACCTCGATAGCGCGGGTGGAGTAACCATTTTATTACCATCCATTAAAAAAATAAGCTATAAAGATGTTTTACGAGGGACGCTGCTGTCCATCCCTCGCCCTCCCCTTGTCACACTCACGGGAAAGGAAGGGGTGGGCTATTCTATGGCGGGACCTTACGAAAATATTTTCATGCCTATTGATAAACGACATACTACAGCGCTACCAGCTGAAACCACTTTGGCATTAACAATGTATATCTCATTGTATATAAATAAATATTAATTAATTCATTACATATAAAAAAAAATACCATCAAAAAAATTACGAAAGACAAATAACAGTTTGCCAAAAATAACGTGGGCTATTTGAAAATCACCGTACCATCCCGACCCCGTCATCATTTACGACTCGCCATGAACACGAGCTATATCTCCCATAATTTCTTAGTGGCCACAGGGCTGACCGGCGAAGGGAGGTCGCAGGAACTGGCTAAACACCAGAATTACCCCTCTCAGTCCACTTTACTCCAAATTTATGGTCCCCCGAAGCGAGTGACTACCTATTAGCGTGATTTGCCGCTTGTAATTTTGTTGCTGGGAAATTGTGGATGAAACTCGTGCAGTGTGATCCGTCGATTACGGAGTGCCCATTATAAAGTGTTTAGAGGAAAGGAAACGCTTGATGAAACCATCCAATATTTTCAACCGACTTAAAAATAAAAAGTTCTTATTATAGTTTATTTTTTTTTTTATGTTTGTTACTTCATAACTGTGTCGGTTCTAAACCAATTTGGAAAATTCTTACAGATTGGTCACAAAAAATCGACTTCAAATGTGACAAAATTAGTTTATTTGATTTAAAAATTAAATTAATAACAAGACCCATTTATCCATCCAAAGCCGGAACGGGTGGCTAGTATAAAATATTTTTAGAACTTTGCACAAAAATTTGATTAAGATAAACACTTACGTTTATGAATTCATACCGATGTTTCTATTTCTCTATCGCACGAAATTTTCTCGTAAAAATTGATTTTTGAAATTTTCTAACCGACTTCAAAAAAGGAGAAGGTTATGTTTCACTGTATATTTTTTTATGTACGTCCACCGATTTCTACGTCAATTGTCGGCCTATTTCACATTTTTTTTTTATTTTGAGGTAAATGAGTTGAGTGAAGTGGACAGGTAACTGGTCACCACGTCTGGACGTAATATATGATATATTCTTAAATATGTTATTTTAAACAACTAGCACTATCAATCAGATTGTCTATCTACAATCAACGAGTCAATAACCACTCCAGCATAAAATCCTTTAAATGCTAGTGGTCATTCATTTGTTAGTTTTGATTTATTAAAATATTATTTCATATTTATGCATAGCGGCAATATACCAGTATACCTGTATTGTTTGTTAATCATTCATGAATAATTTAATTAAAATTTATGCACTTTATATAAAAAAAAATATTTTATATAGATATATGTATAATTTATTTACATTACTTACAGACATACATCCACAAAAAAGAGATAATAAATACATATATAATAAATAAATTATTTGCTGTTTTATATTTATTTACTTACAAATTATGGTAACCCTATTATCGTGTCTCCGATCTACGACGCGTCTTATTTTCGAATCACTCAATTCACCCGAACAATTCTCGGCGTAATTTTTATTCCTTATTTAGTCGTCAACCATTTCTCACTCGTCAAAAACACGGACACTCGTGCCGATATTGAGGATTCGGAATTTATAATTTATTTTCTTAATTTGCTGCCGGATCCGCGACGGTGCCGAGGACGTCCCCTTTCTTCTGTCGTCGTAAATTTTTCAAAAGAGTTTTTAATCAGTCTTCAAGCATTTACAAATTAAACAGGGCCGTGTTATGAAGAAATATCGCGGGTCGGGTGTGCGCGTTTCCATTGTTAAACATGAAACGAGAATTTAGGTGTTTATATAAATTAATATGGATATCTTAGGGATTGCTTAAAGGTTTTTTTTTATACAACTTAGAATGGCAAACAAGCTGACGGCCATCTGATGGAAAGTGGTAACCGTCGCCTATGAACATGAGCAGTACCTTGGACATAACAGAGTATACTGTTTCGCCCATGATACCCCACATGCGTTGCCATTCCTGAACACTCGGGTGTTATTCCTCTGTACCCAGTAAATTCACGCCATATCCCACCCTTCAAACCGAAACACAGCCATGCAAACACAGCTGCTTCACGGTTGAAACAGGAATGAGACAGAGGTACTCAAGCAATCGACTTTTGTACAAAGTCTCCCTCTGGTCTGTCAATAAAAGCCGAGAAACTGTCAAAAATCGTAGCTAGAGATTTGGCGTCTCAAAGTTATTTACAAGTTCTCTTTCTTATTGTGGTTTCCGTAAATACCTATAGGCATCGTGTGAAAAAAATAAGTATTAAATGATGCAAACAAAAATTATCTTGCAATAAAATATATTCAAACTATTCAAGAGCAAAATCATTTGCTTAAGCGATTTATTGTAATAATAAATATAAGAGTATTGGAAATTTTCAAACATATAATACATATATCTCTGTCAGAGATAAGTCTACCCTTACTCACAACATTTATAAATACAATACATTATTTTATATGTAACTTACAAGTGCAATAAAAAATATATATATTTACTTCATAACCTATTAAGTAATTTTACAATTTCGAATTTATAATATTTAAAGATTAAATGTATTTATTTTTAATAATTAAAATTTTAATGCAAATATTGGCATTACTTTAGTTTTATATTTAAAAAATCATTATCAGTATTAGTATATTTAAGTATTTTTTTAGAATTTTCTGTACAAAAACTGTACGATATCATTTAATACCTTACAATAATTTTCATAAACCCTTTTATATAATATTAAAATTATACAAAATAAATAATAAAGCTACTAAAATTTTCTTATTTAATATATACAAAGTTTAAAATAATTCACTTAATAAAAAAATATTACATTAACAATTTATAAAATATCGTACCGTAATAAACAATGTGAACGCGCAACAAACAAGAAATATAACCGGCAAGGATCTCTCCGCAAAAAGCTCGCAAATTTCCTCATCAATTATCATTATTAGGGAGCGAAGGCGAGCTGAGACGCGAGTAATTGAGTTTTATAAATGGCGACGGCTGCCGTCGACGCGTCTGTCATAAATACCGAGGGCGCGTCGCGGTGGTGACGTGACGCGTCGTGACATAATGAAAACAGACAATGCCGCGCTGATAATATTATTATGAACAATAAATGGCTGTTTATAGTTACAATAATTGACTTATTATTTCTTTAATTAAATGATAAGCAGAAGTGTTATTTTTTTTTTAATCTAATCAGAGTTGAGTTGTAATATTAAGGAGGTGTAGACGGGAAGATGAGTTAACATAAATAACCTTAGAAAAATACGCAGCAGACATATGATTGCTACGTTTTTTACGACGGTTTACTACAGTTTACCAGAGGGAGACTTTGTACAAAAGTCTTTGTACAAAATTCTATTGCCACCCCCCGCCCCTCCTGTATTATTATTGTTATAACCCCCCCCCCCCCCATAATAGTTGTTCTTATATATCTGCCATGTACAGACAGCGACCAGTTACAATTTTATTATATGTATTGATTTTTAATTTTCAATCGATTATAACCTTAAAACTCCATTATTTATATACTGATTGGGAAAATTATGTATTTATTTAAAAAAAATATACATATATTATACATTGTTCCTATAGAACTTTTATCTAAATCGATTCAGAAGTTTAGTTTTTAAATCAAAATAACCGGTTTACTGTACCAATAGGTACCAGTAAAGAATAATATGTAAGGATAAAGGATGATAATGGAATGATAACTCCGCCTGCGCTATTGGTATACGCTGGCGGGGCGCCAGTGAGGGATGACTGGTGAGGATGAAAAGACAGGTCAGTTAGCCCATAAATTAGTCACGATGGTTTCCAGGGGGGGACCGCGTGGAGGTCGACCTGCTAGGGCATACTGATAGCAATGCGGACTAACCTCCCCATTACTAACAATCCCTCCCCCCCCCCAAAGTCAGATCAATTAGCCCGTCGTGTTCATCACTACATAGTATAAAACAAAGTCGCTGTCGCTCTCTGTCCGTCACTATGTATGCTTTAATTTTTAAAACTACGCAACGGATTTTGAAACGGGTTTTTTTAATAGATAGAGTGATTCAAGAGGAAAATTTGTAAGTATAATACATACATAATATTGTAGAGAAACACTGATAATTTTAGAAGTTTCTAATGTGATGTGATGTAATGTGCACCTGTGCGAAGCCGGGGCGGGTCACTAGTATTAGTTTAAGTCCAAGAACATTTCTAATGGAAAGAAAAATTGGATTGTTTTTAGGAAAATAAAAAAAAAAAATTTGTTTTATACAACTTAGAATGGCAAACAAGCTGACGGCCCACCTGATGAAAAGTGGTAACCGTCGCATAGGTGACGTCTATAGAGACATGAGCAGTACCATGGACATAACAGAGTATACTGTTTCGCCCATGATACCTCCCATGCGTTACCATTCCTAAGGACTCAGGTGTTATTCCTTTGTACCCAGTAAATTCACGCTATATCCCACCCTTTAAACCGAAACACAGCCATTCAAACACAACTGCTTCACGGTTGAAACACGAATGGGACAGAGGCACCCAAGCAATCAACTTTTGTACAAAGTCTCCCGATGGTGTTCCCATTCCCATTCCCATTCCAAACGCTTTCGAAAAATTCCCATTTTTTCAAACCGTACCCAGCTACTTCTGACAAAACAGCGTCTGGCGGGTAAGCTAGTGCAGAATAAAATGAATGGATACTAGTGATAAATGAGTTCCGTGGCAGTTGTATCATACGCGGGCAAATTGAATGATTTACGCGTGACACTCTCTCACGGAAGCTGCCAACCATACATACTAGTGAACTGTGACATGATCCCATATAACGGGCTTTGTATCATGTCTGTGCTCTATAAAAACACTGTGTGATCCCATGATGTCGAATGCTGAGACGTACGTCTTAGGCATATTTAAACCAGGGAAGGGGGGTGGATAAGCCATGTTCATCCAAGATATGTCTAAAACATATATTTTATTCATTTTTTAATATATACAACTTAGAATGGCAAACAAGCTGACGGCCCACCTGATGGAAAGTGATAACCGTCGCCTATAAACATGAGCAATACCATGGACATAAATATACTATTTCACCCATTATACCTCCCATACGTTGCCATTCCTGAGGACTCAGATATTATTCCTCTGTACCCAGTAAATTCACGCCATATCCCACACTTCAAACTGAAACACAGACATGCAAACACAACTGCTTTACGGTTAAAACGCGAATGGAACAGAGGTACCCAAGCAAACGACTTTTGTACAACTCGGAGACTCCCTCTGGTGAAAATATTTATTTATTATTTACTTGAAACATGAAATATACTCAAAGCATAAGTGCATATTTCGCCATACAGATACACGCAATTGATGGATCCCTAATACTAATTTTATTAACATTATTTTATTATGTTATTTTTATGTTTTTTACATTTTTTTTTTTTCAATTTTATATCACGAGAATAATACTGTAATTGCATTTAAAAATATTTTTAAACAATGGAATTGATAGTACCATAATGTATAATGTTATCTAAACTTACCACATTTATCGCAATAAATTTCATTTCATTTCATTTTATTTCATTTCATTTCATTTCAGTTCAGTTCAGTTCAGTTCATTTCATTTCATTTCATTTCATTTCATTTCATTTCATTTCATTTCATTTCATTTCATTTCATTTCATTTCATTTCATTTCATTTCATTTCATTTCATTTCATTTCATTTCCTTTCATTTCATTTCATTTCATTTCATACATATTATTGTAAAAATAATACATAACAACAAACATGTAAAGTCACAGTGAAAAATAATATTCTTTAGAACAACAATATATATAATACGTGTAGATACAAGACGAGACAACCATTTGAATAGAAACAAAAACCGTGTAGAAAAAAAATATCAACATATATATGTGGCCAGGCCAGACTTAAATTTACATTATGGCCACAAAGAAGTTTCAATAAAACATAATATAATGTGAGTTATAAATAAACAATATACTATTCTTATCACAGTTATTACTTTATACTTAAGATGGTAAAATAACTAAATCCTACTTGAGCCAGATAAAACTGAATACAACCAGATAAATATGTATGTGCGATAAATTCACATCGTTAGACATTATAGTAGGTACATGATGCGTAAACAAAACAATACACAAGTACTAACTATTAATGCCATAACTCTCCACTATCTGAATCATTTCCTTTGAAATCTTCCAACTTACAAGACATTAATAAATCTTCTGTAACGTGAACGCCAAGAAACTACAGCGATGGGTAGAGGTGGCATAAAAATCAGCTGTTTGTTTACTAAGACGAGGCTGTGCTGAACAATTATTTTGAAATCGGGTGCTGGTAAGAAGGTTGCCCCGTAATTTCACATGTTTGCAATCGACAGGTAACGCTCGCATGCCATGCCAGATGTGGCAACTTGGATGTTTTTGGCCGTATGCTAAAACAGATATCACAAAGTCTCGCTATATATATATATATATATATATATCTATATATCTATATATATATATATATATATATATATATATATATATATATATATATATATTTGTAGGAATAAATAACATTTAAATATTTGATATTTATTATAGGTATTTTGTTTTAAAAGAACACTTTATGCAATTTTTTTCTCTATTATGAAGTTTTATCAATCATGTCATAAGCAATAGGTAAATTAATGTTAAAGACACGGTTAATGAAATACTTATATATTTATGATATTTATATATCAGTCCAAAATATCTTGTAACCTCTGAGAAAAATTGATATTTCTGACGCTAATA